GATCAAAAACATCTTGGCAAATAGTGGAATATCAGCATTATATATAGTAATTTATAATGGGATAAAACATGATAAAACATGATAAAACATGATCTGGGTTTAATTCTCAAATATAATAAAATATAGGATGCTCCGAATGCCATGGTCGATCAATATGTCTCATCATTTCCCCAGTAAAATCGCCATGTTTGGGCATTTTCTGCAGCGACTGAAACGCTGAACGTTGAAATCACCGGAACGTCCTGAATACATCTACAATCATCATGCATTTTATAGAAATATATTGACATGCATCACATAATATCAGAAAATATTATATATACAGTAGATATTAGACAGCATTAGACATATTATATATATATATCATATGTATGTATATATATATATATCATATATATATATATGATATATATATATATCATATATATCATATATATAATATCATATATATATATTTAATAACATGTAATAATATAGACATATCATAGGAGGAGATCCGCGTTTCGATCTCCCCGATCTTCGGATCAACCTGAGATCCAGGCCCGCCCAGGAGGGACGTGAGTTCAAAGTCCAGCACGGAGCACTGGGCCACCTTCAACATGCTGGCCTGGCTCCACCATGTGGAAAATGTCTGTTAACAGTTAACATCTTATTAATGGTGGTTAATGATGGTTATTAATGGTGGTTAATGGTGGTTAATGGTGGTTAATGGTGGTTAATGGAAAATCGAGTTACCCTCTGGTAAACATACCAAAAAACTATGGAAAGATCCACCATGCTATTAATGGGTAAATCCACTATAAATGGGCCATTTTCCATGGCTATGTTAGTTTACCAGAGGGTAACATCTTATTGGAAAAAAAAACACATCCATCAAAATCACAGGTATTCTTTTAAAACGTTGATGTTCACAACCGCATTTTCAAAAACAACAGTACTGGTCGAAAGTCAGAGGTATTCAGGCAAACCCACATTCTATAAAGATCACGAAGTCACACCTGGATTTAGAGAACCAACATGTTCATCACAAGCTAAAGATATAGTAATTAATTGCCGGGGTATGCCCACGTTATATCTAACATATATATATATATATATATGAACATATATAACACAATAATTATAACATATAACAAGTCACAAGTGATAATAACATATATATAAATATATAATAACTGGGTTTACATTAGAAACACAGTGGCCCATGCACCTCAATCCGATGTACAAGCGCATTTGACCTCAGGCCATCGGGTCAAAGTGGTGGATCTGCTGGGGAAACAATGGCCATATCTGTCCGGCCAAGCTGTCACTGAGGTTGCTGCTTGTAGAGCAAGGTGAAGTACTAAGCAACACGCGGCAAAGCAGCTAAAGGGGACCCCGCTTAAATGACATGAAAGGCACCGGGAAGAGACTAAGATGTCCAAAAACCACTTCACGTGCGGAGTCTGGGGAAATTCCGAGTACCCCGATGGATGTTCAACACCATTCAACACTGCTATCTTTCTGCGGGGTTTCATAGGGAGGACCTGAAGGGTGGGACACCGACATCAGCAATGCTTGGAAAGCAGCGAAAATCTTCGACTCTTCAGCCACCACATCCCATTCCAATCAATTGGTCCATTGATGTCCATTGAGATCATCCCTGACCCGCGGTCTGAGAAATTCTGGGAACCCTTGCCACGCTGGTTTCGCGATCTTTCCGCAGATTCTTCAACTGGGCAGAGGCCTCAAGCACAAGATGATCACAAGATACTACAAGAAGCATACTTGAAGCAAGTGGGAAACGCAAGAATTTGGGATTTTGATGGATGTTGATAAAACACCCATTGCTTTGCTTTCCCATCTTGGCCCAATTTTTGCGATGTCCCATGGGTTTCTTAGATCATCCGCGGCCGCCCTACGACCAGTTTCGAGGCCGCAACAGGAACCTCCTTGTTGTCGACCAGAAGAATTTGCTTCTCTGCCTGACTGGTACACTGGGCATCACTGGGCCACCAAAATTTTCAGAACATCATAGGACATCACTTTTTTCAGTTTAGGTTAGTTATTGTCATATAGTTTGGTACCCCCATTTCCATGGAATTATTATCATTTATATCATTTTCCCGAGCCACATTTCTGGCCAAGCTATTTTTTTCATTTCAGCATTTCAGCATTTCAGCCTGGTACCCTTGTGTAGCCATCAACATTGCTGGTAGTTCTGGGTCTTCATCTCCCAGAGGTATTGACCCGTCCTCACGTCCCACCAACATTTCTGGGGCTTGCACGGGAATTTGCTCCAACACCTGCCATGATGATGATGATGATGATGATGATGATGATGATGATGGTTGGCCAACATCAATGCAGAGGAAACAAGTTCTGTTTCAGCCGGAACAGCAGCAAAAGTAGGTGCCACCTGCAAGCGATCTTGCACCTCCTGTTCCGGCCAGGCAGTGAAAATGTCTGAGGCAGTGAATGTGCACGGAACAAGACTCAATACTTTCCGGCATGGAAAGCACGGGTATACGTTACAACTAGTTGTAAACAACAATCACATCACAATATCCATCTGCCTTTGAGAGGATGAAGAGTGCAAAATTGAGAACATTGATGCAAAATCCATCAGCCATTAGTCATCATTAGTCATAAACTGATGTGGGATTCTGTTGAACCTCACTGGCTGAGACCAAGTTCTGATTCAGCAGTCCTTCACTGTAGCGATTTGCGACATGTGCAACACTGCCGCCTCCTGAAGGATTCGGGCCATGGCTGTGTTTCACGAGCTAGAAGGGCCGGCCCGATGCTGACACGGAAAAATGCCCAAGATGTCCTGGTAGTCTGTGGGGTTTTCACATGGGTTAACTAACATAACTATGGAAAATCATCATTTTTAATGGGAAAATCCACTATAAATGGTCATGTTCAATAGCTATTTTGACATAACCAGAGGGTAACATAGCCCGCCATCTGTGATCCGACATACCCTCGAAAAATCCCACAAGATGTCGCAGGTGACCTCTCCAGTAATGCGGATGACAATCACATCCACCTCGGCTTTCCAGGACAAGGTCACTCCTTCAAACAGCTTGCCTGGACCTACCTGGACCTTGCGTGCTTCTCTTCTACTCTTGAACCTGAATTTGGGATGGAATGCGCAAGCGCTACAAGATCCGCAAGTCGATTGTCGGCGGAACTATATACCAGTTACTACCTTTAAAACACACAAATACATATAATATATATATATATATTATATCACGTATATTATATAATATTATGTATATATATATATATGTGTATATATATATATATGTATATATATATATGTATGTGTGTAATAGTGTGTAATAGTGTGTAATAACGTGTATATTGTCCGCCCACTCCAGCCGGAGCAAAGGGGGCTTGAAGAAGAGTTTTATACAAAACGACAACGATGACGATGACGAGGACGAGGAGCAGCACCACCACCAGCAACCATCACAACCACAACAACAACAACAACAACAACAACAACAACAACAGCAGCCCTGACAACGCTGTCTGGGAAGCGTTGTTTAACGGGAAAATGATGGAAAATGCATTTTGTCCGCCTGGACTTTCTGTGGGTTTCAGAGGACACGTCAGGCCCGTCAGGCCAGCAGTTTCTTGGTGTGATTCAATGGGTTGCCAGTCCTTCCCTGCCATGTTTTCCTGTCCAGCAGGGTTTTGACATGACACTTGGCTACTTTCTATGGGTTTCACATGGTTTCACGCGGCGAACCATCCGCATCATCTTGGCCTCTCTGGTCGTTGCTTCACCATTTCCCAGGTAAGCCTTGTATTTGACGGATGTTGACAGAGTCTTCACGTCGAAATGATGTTCTGGGCTCCTCGTTTTCGTTGGGTCAGCCGCAGGGACAGAGCCCTTAAAGTATATCCATCTCGTCCGGAAATGTCCAGAAGATCAGAATACACAACAACTAGCCTCCGGTGTCATCAAACATGGCTTCATGGAAAACTCCCATTTAGCTTGATGATTTTCCCATTTTTCATGACCGCCATGGGTAAAAATCTCAGAGCACCATCCCACCCTCCCATCCGCCTCACGAAGAGAATGGGAGGCGCTACCGTGCTTGAAGGCACGTGAGGCCTGGGACGCACCCTCCATGAAACGTCCAATCCAGCGGAAAATCAGCACCTTGACGAGGAGATATGTTGGATATGCTTAAGGATATTTTAAGGACATACTAATTATATCATATTATATCATTGTATGCAAATGATATCAAATAATGACATTAATAATGACGTCTGTAATTCAAAATGCCGAAATGAGTCAATGAGGCAATAAATTCGAGGTCTATTGCCAGGGTGGACAATCGGCAACCTCCACTTTCGGACCATCATCCACAAATTTTGGACGTTCTGCCAGATATGCCAGGTTCGAGTAACAGAGTCAATGGATGAGAGATGAATCTCAAGGCACGCTTCAAGTCTCTTTTTGAAGGAAACTCAGGATTGGAGAAACTGCCCAACTCTGCTCCCTCATAAACCATTCCCTTTCAGAAGGATTAGGACGTTTCCCTGCAGCCGGATTCTACTGATCCAATCGCCCCAAAAGTTGCCAAAGTTTCTTTCCATCTATCTGTTCAGGATTGTTCAGGAAGTTCAGGAATCTCCATAACGTGGGACAACTAACCACTATAATTATTTATTACATATTTATTCCATCCAATCCCCCCAAAAATGGTGATTTCACAGGGGGAAAAAGGATGAAAAAGGGGGGGACCTCAAGGCCAGCTGTTTCCGCCTCAATCTTCCGGCCAGCACCCTGCAAGGCGCCCTTGGAGCCTTCTGACATCCGGTCAATGTGACCTCAGCTGAAGGATACTGAAGGATACTGAAGGCATGGTGGCAATTCTACACATCCTCCAGATATCTCCAGAGTTGCTGGTTGCTGGTTGCAGGATGGGACGGGCACACTCTGAAGTTTTTGCTTCCTATTCTGAGATTTACAAATCTAAGCACTAAGTAGCTGGCCTGCGCCCATCGTCAGAAACTGGGCAGTGTGAATAAACATGGGCAAAGGATGGTTCTTCGTGTTCTGGATTCAAGCTGACTGCTTATGGTCAGTGCAAATAAAACACGTGTCCGCATCGTGAGCTTGCGAAACGTTGTCTTGATTTTGTTTAAAAAAGACTGACTAAACAAGGATGTTCTACACAGAATAAGACCTCCTTGATGATCTTGATGTAAAGATATGTAACTGGTTGGTGGTTTCAACCCCTCTGAAAAATATATAAAAATATTAGTCAGTTGGGATCATTCTTCCCATAATGTATGTAAAGTCTTAAAATTCATGTTCCAAACCACCAACCAGTGTAAAGTAACATCTCTACCCTTCTCAACGATAAGTCGTTGTCAGAGATGAAAAAATCCCTTGGGATTCCGCCTTGGAGCTTCTGCGTGGTTCCACTACCTCACGACAGTGGCATAGAAAAAAGGTGACCATGCGCCTTTTTTCGTTAACCGTTAGGAGGATAGAAAAGTACCCAGAATGGTGTGCTGTATTTTCCCCAAATTTCCAGGCGTCTATCCAAGTTTCTGTATCTCTTTTGCGAGTCCTATAATTATCTAATTCTGTGGGTCTAATGTGGTTTAAACATATTTAGAATCTCAATTTCCGGCATTTCAGTTCATTCCGGGATCATTTCTGCCATTTTTGAGCTGACTCCCGGGTCCCCCCTGTCATTTCGCGCAAGGGCACCGTCGCGTGCTCTCGGCTCGGTGGTCTCAGACCGCGGGAAATGGAACCCAGGGCCTCAGGGTTTCAACATAGGGTACCCTCCGCTGTCATCAAACGGTGGCTGGAAATCTCCTAGAAATATGGAGGTTTTTTTGAGTAGCTTTGAGTACGAAAATCGCCCTAATATTTGATGACCAAGTTGTGTAATCCACTGGATAATCATCTCATTTCCGGACAAACAAGCATCATCCCCATGAGAATGGCCAAAAAAAAGCGGGTGGATTAACCCGCATTTTGAGACACATCCAAATCATAGTAGTTGGTTGTATGTCCCATTGATATCCCCATTTTCTCCATCAAAGAAATTGAATTCTGAGCTGAGTGGCAGCGTTGGAGACTGCAGTCACTGCCAACACTTGCGTGTGCTGAAGCTGTGCACGTCGCACACCTTAGCAACGTCTGTCCATCGCTTTGGTGGCTATAACATGTTGTAATGTTTATGTATATGTACATATATATATATATATGTACACATAGTATTATGTACAGTATTGTATTGTATTAACAATAGTGTGCAAATAATATGTATATAATATACACATACAAATAAAGCAATACTAAAATACATGTATGCAAAACCCTCGTTCTAATCAGTGGCATAATCAGAAGTTCAACATGAAGGAGCAATGAAGCTGCTAACTGGTTTCAACCGTGTGTCCGCATCCCTCTGAGCTGCTTGCAATCTGCAACTGCTTCAGCCTATGCACCGACAAGGGAAAACAAGCTGTGGCATTGTGATTGATCCGATGCCCAAAAGTGCAAACTGACGTCTCGCACAAGGCGGTTCCCCTAAATTGCTAGGTTGGTTTCTAACTATATGATGGGTTATAGTCATTGTATGTCATTGTCGCTATATATAGTGGTTTTGTCAAACATAACTCAAACCTGGGCCCATTGCCCAGCACGAGAGCTCCTCTGAGGTCGTCACAGAGCCGCCAACAATTGCCCAGGCCTCACTGATTCCGAAATGGCTGAGGGTACCCCCATGGATTGGAAACCCCCAAATGACTTGGCATCGGAGGTATGCCATTTCCGTTTGAACACTAAGGCAGGTACTGAACTGAAGAGCAAATGGCTGGCGAGCGAGCTGCTCCCCTCAAGGCTCACATCTAAAGTCATGTTGTGGACCTGTTTCTTCACCTTCACATGACTTTCAATGTTCAAAGCAAATACCGTTCCAAATGAAAGGGACAAACGGATGGCAATGACTTCAAGTAGCTCTTAATGACTTACCGCGATCTGGGAGGAGGCACCACAGCATCCAAGCTACAAAAAAATCGGAGCCTGGCCTGTTTCAGTGCATAGTACCACAAGGGTTGATGTGCAAACTCCTGGATGCTGAGGTTGCAGTCACCAGGATTCAGCAGGGTGGCTGGGTATTTTGAATTGTATCCCAAGGTATTCCAGGATCCCAGGATCCCAGGACTTAATGTACATGTTTTCACTTCCTCTTGGATCAGGATGGATCAGGATGGATCAGGTACCGGGGCAAGAAACATCAAGATTGACAACATGCGCAGAGCCGAGATGACCCAAAGTCGAGGCATCTGCTGTCCAGTGGACCCAGTCTCCCGACGCGGTGAATGGCCCCTGTCCTCAGACGTTTGTGCTTCATCTTTGAGTCGGGAGAAGACGGCCTGCAACGCAAAAATGGCAGCGCTTTTTCCAAGGAACATTGCTTGACTTAGATCTGATGACAGGTGATATAAGTATGACTAGCTTGATAATATCTATATATAAATAAATAAATATATATATATAATGTTTAGTTCTGATTTGTAAATGCCCCCTGAATAAAGCTAATTTTTTCCCAAAATAAATAATAAATGCACCCTAAATAAAGCTAATTTTTTTTGGCCCTAAAAGATTTGCCCAGATGGGGCTGATTTTTTTTTTCCATGCTTTATTTGAGGTGGCTTTCATGTACTAATTCATATTGCCAGCTCATTAGATCTTACCTTGATAACTTCAAATTTTCAAAAATAATGGTTGCTCTTTTCTATTCAAAACCTTTATTCAAAATTATCCAAAATCAATCCCAAATCAACTCGTCAAGGGTACCCCCCATGAGGTGCCTTGGCACTAATTAGAGTTTGACCCTGAATAAAGCTAATTGTTTTTGGCCCTAAACCCAGATTTGCCCAGATCCATGACATGAATACTAAATCAATACTAAATCCATGACATGAATACGAGATCAATACTAAATCCATGACATGAATACTAAATCAATACTAAATCCATGACATGAATACTAAATCAATACTAAATCCATGAGATGAATACTAGATCAATACTAAAACAATTGCTGGATTCCTTTTTTTTTGAAATTGAATTTTATGTATTCGTTTTCAATTGTGGTAATTTAAAACCTTTACTTACAAACCAGTTTTATGGTGGCTTTAAGTCTATTTAGGGTCAGAGAGGGGGGGGGCCTATTGTTAAATCAAAGACAAACATTATATATATATATATCAGATTATATCAGTACACTATTATTGTATATATATATATAATGTATACATATATATACACATATAATCATATACTATTCTTATGATCATTATTGATTGCGAATCCCCAAATCCGAATCCTACCAAGTCCAAATCGCTTGATTCCACACTGCCGCTCACCTGAAGTTCCACCAACCTATGGGCATCCACATCACGGACAATCTCATGCGCGCCTGGCCAGGTGATCGCTGGAACAATGGGATCGTGAGACTCATTGTGAAACTCAAATCTGCAGGGTAAGTCTCAAGCCCTCCGATATAAGACAACTGGCCGTGTGGCCGTGTGGCCGTGTGGCCAAGCGTTTGGGCTGCGACACATCATGTTACCAGTACTTTGCAGAGTCGCATATCGCTTCTCCCTTTGAATTCAACTCGCTCCAAGCCTTTCCTCTTGTCAGGTGCAACCTCAGGTTCCCCATTGCCCAGATAAATCACCCTGGAAAACCCATAGCATTCTTCCTGGCTTAAGACATCACTTCCTCAAAAGGGTTTGTCTGAAAATAGTGTACCCTGATTTCATGGATTAGCATCAATACATAAAATTGGGGACCCCAAAGCCATGGGTTTCAATAGCGACTAGTGAAATAGTTTGTATATAGTTTGTTTTTAGATGATTTGAGGGTACCCTCATTTTAGGAAACCTCCATCTACATCATCCAATTGAAATATTCATAGGGGTATTCCTTACAGACTGACCCCCCTTCCGGGGGACATCCCTCCCTACCCTGAACTGGGGCTACTGGGGCTACTGGCACTGGCTTGGGTCAGCAAGTCGTAAAAGCCCTCAGCAATCCATCATCGGCTCGTGAACCCCAAAGGTGGAATCATCTCAACTGAAAGCAGCGAAAACCATCAGCCTAACCTGCTGCCTAAACCAACAAGATACAACAAGCTATAGCTGGCTTCTTGTTTCACCCTTGAAAAACATGCTCGTCCCCTTGGATCTTCCAAGCAAGACCTGGATCACCAAGCCGAACCCTGGGCGCCCTGCAAAAACTTGCAGCAAAAAGTGCAAGAACTGCCCAGCCAGGAGACTGTGACGTCGCACGGCCTAGGGCAAGACATGTTAACGTCCCAACGAGGCTCATTTCACTGCGCAGCTGCAGTGTTTTGTGACATTGGTACATCTGGGCGTTGGTATGTCCCAAGACGTGTTCTTTTAGAAAACTCAATCGGAAAAATGAACCCTCTGCGGACTTCATGCGTGTCGCCCTTAGCAGCTCCAGCACGCAGCACGCGCAACGCTGAGTGCTAGCACGCAGGTTCGTCACGCAGTGGGTTTTTAGCATTGTGATATATGTATTTTTTTTAAATGCATTTAACTAGATCCGAGAAAAAAAAAAAAACATCCATACAGATTTTAGACCTTAAAGGGCTAGTAAATCGCAAGTTCGAAACGCATTGGGTTTTATTATCCTATTCATACCTCGATGCATTTATATACTTTTCTGTGAAAAAAAACATCCGGTAACTTGAGAATACCTGCCTGACGTCCGGATGCATTTTGCGCTTCCCAAAAAAAACATCTGGGGTTTCCCCGTTTCCTCCAAAAGGGTAAATTCTTTCAGGGTGTTGAAAAAATCAATGCCACTTGGAGGTACTCGTGTGGCTCTCATGAATGTGATGAGTTCGTCACTCCAATGCATTTTTCCTATTCCAATAAAAGCATCCACTATCTAAATCAAGATAAACATATCTACTAGGATGCACACCGGGAAAAATGCATTGGAGTGAGTGCTGAGCACGCGAGTGCTGGCACGCGAGTGCTGTGTGCCAGCACGCGAGTGACGAAACAGCTAAGGTGTCGCCCTTTTTCTATTTTTCACTTTTTGGTCAGTTGTTCCATGGGGCCGGGTGGATTTTATGACTTATGTAAACCCTAAACCCCTCGTCCTGTGGGTAATGGTAACACATTGTGGGTATGAGTCAAAATAAAACCCCTGGGACCACAGATTTTTGTATGTGTTTAGTATTAGCTATCCAATTATTGGGGTACCCAGTTTTGACCCATAAGGTACCCATAGCCACATTACTTTTTTTTGTGTACCTTTTGTGTCTTGATGCGCACACGTGACAATAAGTTTGGATCTTCAGATCTTTTGAGACAAATGTCTGGGTCTCACATGCGTGAAATCTCTGCGTCCCAGCTCTTTCTTTTATTTTAACATTTTTAACTGACCTCTACATTTCTCTACAGTGCTAGATCTTGAGACTTTAGCAAGAATCAAACCTTCCAGGCACCCTTTGAGACTACTCCTGGACTGGGAAATCTCTCGTCCAAACACGTCTCCCACTCGCTGTTCATCGCTGTTCAAAGCGACATGTTCCAGTAAGATCAACGGTGATCAACGACAGAAAAATAAAGCTTGAAGGCATCCTATTGAGGGCATCTAGAGTCGACAGTGAAAAAAATCGTAATTATATATATATAATTAATTAGCTGGTATATTCTAATTTATCTGAGTCAAGAGTATATCAGTATATCAGTGGATTATAATTGTCAGCTGATCAACAATCCTCTAAAACATCGGCTGACGTGGCTAAGCCCAACACGTCTACCGAGCACTTGTCGCGTCGGCCCATTTCACGTTGCACCTGGAGCCACATCGCCGACCGTCGTGACATCCCATGTGACCTCGCCGTTGGCCCTGGCCTCCTGCCAATGCTCCTTGGCTCGCTTGATGGGTGCCTGATGGGCACGGATCAGCAATGAGCAAAGTACACACACCTGAGACAGCCTGAGACATTGAGTATTCATATTAATTGAGATGAAATTGGGTATGTTGTAAAGTCCAACTCCGATACGATGTTTTTTCCATGGCTCTTCTATCTCTGTTGAGAGGCCGACAACGCGACATTGGGCGACCAGCTGAGCTTCCACACCATCCGCCCGGATTGGATCCAATCCGGCAAAGCGATCAGGTTTTCCATCCTCGTGGCACAGAATGCATCCAGGCACTAGCCATGTCACTTCACCACCAGAGATGCAAAATCCATCATTTCCAGGGATAAATATGTTTGGATTGATCCAAACATGGGGGATTAGATGATTGTGAATGATTGTGAAATGAAATTTGGGATGCTCCATTTTTGGACAAACAGCACAGCTTGCGGCAACTCCACCCCTGGGCTTCCAGGCAAGACCTTCTGGTTGTTCAGCATCCGTTGGCAGGTCCTTTCCCATGGCCGCTTCAAAGATATACGGTTGTCCAAGCAAAATCCATTGTCTTGGTATATCTTGGTATATCTGGTATATCTTGGTATATCTTGGTATATCTTGGTAGTTCGGGCACATGGTGTGATACCATGTATATATAATAACAATGCATTATTTCTGTATTCTATATACATGCATCTATATACATCATTGTACATCTATATGCATCTATACACATCTATATACATCTATACAATTCTATACACATCTATATACAATACATCAAATACTGTATATATATATATATACACTGTGTATATCTGTGTATATCTGTGTATATATATATATATGTACACATCTGTACTATACATACTATCTACTATATGTATCCGCCGACCCCGGCAGACGCAAGGGGGAGCGCGCCAGGGAATAAGACATTGCGTCTACTACTATACTACTGCAGCTACAGTAGATAGAAACAGCAGCAGCAGCAGCACAACAACCACAACAACAACAACAACGACGACAACAACAACAACAACAAGAACAAGAACAACAACAACAACAACAACAACAACAACAACAACAACAACAACAACAAGAACAAGAACAAGAACAACAACAACAACAACAACAACAACAACAACAACAACAACAACAACAACAACAATGACCCTTTGCCGGGGGACCCTGTTGGGTCCCCCTCCCACCGGTCACGTACGTCGATTCATTGACTCCGGGGTTTTTGTTTTACCGGTGGGGGGTCCTTCCCGGAGTCTCCTCGAGGTACGTGGGGCTCCTTGGGTTGCCCTTCCCGCTCTGATTTGTTCGTTCGAGGCCGCATCCTCGAGGTTCTATGTCTCATTGTACAAACAGTGGTATCCGCCGACCCCGGCAGACGCAAGGGGGAGTGCGTAAGGGAAAAAGAGTTTATGACACAGCTGCCAGGAAAGAATAATAATAATTCGCTGACCCCGGCCGATGCAAGGGGGAGCGACAACAACAACCATGTGCCACCTCTGCTGTGCTCTCGATAGTCCATAAGCTTCAGGGTTAGGCTGCAATTTTCTTAGATCAAGTCGTGTCTTTGGTACCGGAGCATACTACTTGCCAACATTTTGTTCCACATCTTTTCCCGTTTCGTTTTTTGTGCGCTACCCGTATGCGGCCAAAGCGTTTCGTGCTTTGCACTTCTGTTAAACATGCTGGACACTGATGTGTGAGAAAGCTCTGAATCACTGTGCCACCGCGAACACGGAAGCGGACACCACAATGCTGTTGTTTCGCATCAACTTGTCCATCAGTGACAGTACTACGGACCTGTGTCTCACAATGAGGACATATATATTCATAGACCGGCTTTCTCTGCGAGATAGTGGGCCCTGCTGTATTTTCAACGCATTTTTCAACAGGAATCGTGGTGCGACTACGTTTCCGAGCAATTGCTTCCCATGTCTCCTGGATAATTTGCCTGTGGCGCAATCTTTTCCGGAGAGGTTCGAGGCGAGCTGCACTGGAAGCAGCTGCGCGCTTGCGGACTGCACGCTGCACCTTCGCAGCGTGGCATGTGTTGCATGTCTGCGTTCCATCCTCCTTTCTAGAGGGCCGCCGGGAAATAAAGCTAGAAAAGTGGTGCCGCGACTAGGATTTCAGACGACACGTTAGGGAGTTTTTTGGCGTGGTTCTGGACCTTGCTCGTCCTTCAGAGCGATGGTGTTTTGCTGCCGGGAGCTGCTTTTTTCGAAGCTGTTTTACCGGCATCAGCAGCAGCAGCCGCCGCCACCAGTTCTGCGAGCAGCCGCAGGCAACAGAATCTGTCGACAAATGCTGTTTTTCTAGATTTCCAGACGACACGTTAGGGAGTTTTTTGGCGTGGTTCTGGACCTTGCTCGTCCTTCAGAGCCATGGTGTTTTGCTGCCGGGAGCTGCTTTTTTCGAAGCTGGTTTACTGGCATCAGCAGCAGCAGCCGCCGCCACCAGTCGTGCGAGCAGCCGCAGGCAACAGAATCTGTCGACAAATGCTGTTTTTCTAGATTTCCAGACGACACGTTAGGGAGTTTTTTCGCGTGGTTTTGGACCTTGCTCGTCCTTCCGAGCCATGGTGTTTTGCTGCCGGGAGCTGCTTTTTTCGAAGCTGTTTTACCGGCATCAGCAGCAGCAGCCGCCGCCACCAGTTCTGCGAGCAGCCGCAGGCAACGCAGGCAACAGAATCTTTCGACCTTGCTCGTCCTTCAGAGCCATGGTGTTTTGCTGCCGGGGGCTGCTTTTTTCGAAGCTGTTTTACCGGCATCAGCAGCAGCAGCCGCAGGCAACAGAATCTCTCGACAAATGCTGTTTTTCTAGATTTTTCTGGATTTCCAGACGACACGTTAGGGAGTTTTTTCGCGTGGTTTTGGACCTTGCTCGTCCTTCCGAGCCATGGTGTTTTGCTGCCGGGAGCTGCTTTTTTCGAAGCTGTTTTACCGGCATCAGCAGCAGCAGCCGCCGCCACCAGTTCTGCGAGCAGCCGCAGGTAACAGAATCTTTCGACCTTGCTCGTCCTTCAGAGCTATGGGGTTTTGCTGCCGGGGGCTGCTTTTTTCGAAGCTGTTTTACCGGCATCAGCAGCAGCAACCGTCGCCACCAGTCCTGCGAGCAGCCGCAGGCAACAGAATCTCTTGACAATCTCTCGACAATGTGCTGTTTTTCTAGGATTTCAGAAGACACGTTAGGGAGTTTTTTGGCGTGGTTCTGGACCTTGCTCGTCCTTCAGAGCCATGGTGTTTTGCTGCCGGGAGCTGCTTTTTTCGAAGCTGTTTTACCGGCATCAGCAGCAGCAGCAGCCGCCGCCATCAGTTCTGCGAGCAGCCGCAGGCAACAGAATCTGTCGACAAATGCTGTTTTTCTAGATTTCCAGACGACACGTTAGGGAGTTTTTTCGCGTGGTTTTGGACCTTGCTCGTCCTTCCGAGCCATGGTGTTTTGCTGCCGGGAGCTGCTTTTTTCGAAGCTGTTTTACCGGCATCAGCAGCAGCAGCCGCCGCCACCAGTTCTGCGAGCAGCCGCAGGCAACGCAGGCAACAGAATCTTTCGACCTTGCTCGTCCTTCAGAGCCATGGTGTTTTGCTGCCGGGGGCTGCTTTTTTCGAAGCTGTTTTACCGGCATCAGCAGCAGCAGCCGCAGGCAACAGAACCTCTCGACAAATGCTGTTTTTCTAGATTTTTCTAGATTTCCAGACGACACGTTAGGGAGTTTTTTCGCGTGGTTTTGGACCTTGCTCGTCCTTCCGAGCCATGGTGTTTTGCTGCCGGGAGCTGCTTTGTTCGAAGCTGTTTTACCGGCATCAGCAGCAGCAGCCGCCGCCACCAGTTCTGCGAGCAGCCGCAGGTAACAGAATCTTTCGACCTTGCTCGTCCTTCAGAGCTATGGTGTTTTGCTGCCGGGGGCTGCTTTTTTCGAAGCTGTTTTACCGGCATCAGCAGCAGCAACCGTCGCCACCAGTCTTGCGAGCAGCCGCAGGCAACAGAATCTCATGACAATCTCTCGACAATGTGCTGTTTTTCTAGGATTTCAGACGACACGTTAGGGAGTTTTTTGGCGTGGTTCTGGACCTTGCTCGTCCTTCAGAGCCATGGTGTTTTGCTGCCGGGAGCTGCTTTTTTCGAAGCTGTTTTACCGGCATCAGCAGCAGCAGCCGCCGCCACCAGTTCTGCGAGCAGCCGCAGGCAACAGAATCTGTCGACAAATGCTGTTTTTCTAGATTTCTAGACGACACGTTAGGGAGTTTTTTCGCGTGGTTTTGGACCTTGCTCGTCCTTCCGAGCCATGGTGTTTTGCTGCCGGGAGCTGCTTTTTTCGAAGCTGTTTCACCGGCATCAGCAGCAGCAGCCGCCGCCACCAGTTCTGCGAGCAGCCGCAGGCAACAGAATCTGTCGACAAATGCTGTTTTTCTAGATTTCCAGACGACACGTTAGGGAGTTTTTTGGCGTGGTTCTGGACCTTGCTCGTCCTTCAGAGCCATGGTGTTTTGCTGCCGGGAGCTGCTTTTTTCGAAGCTGGTTTACTGGCATCAGCAGCAGCCGCCGCCACCAGTCGTGCGAGCAGCCGTAGGCGACAGAATCTCTCGACAATCGACAAATGCTGTTTTTCTATGCTGTTTCTATGCTGTTTCTATGCTGTTTTTTTGCTGTTTTTCTAGCACATTTTTTCTAGCATTTCAGACGACACGTTTGGGAGGTTTTTTGGCGTGGTTCTGGAACTTGCTCGTCCTTCGGAGCCATGGTGTTTTGCTGCCGGGAGCTGCTTTTTTCGAAGCTATTGTACCGGCATCAGCAGCAGCAGCCGCCACCTGCGAGCAGCTGCAGGCGACAGACTCTCTCGAAAAAAGCTGTTTTTCCAGGATTTCAAACGACATCAGCAGCAGCAGCCGCCGCCACCAGTTCTGCGAGCAGCCGCAGGCAACAGAATCTGTCGACAAATGCTGTTTTTCAAGATTTTTCTAGATTTCCAGACGACACGTTAGGGAGTTTTTTCGCGTGGTTTTGGACCTTGCTCGTCCTTCCAAGCCATGGTGTTTTGCTGCCGGGAGCTGCTTTTTTCGAAGCTGTTTTACTGGCATCAGCAGCAGCAGCCGCCGCCACCAGTTCTGCGAGCAGCCGCAGGCAACAGAATCTGTCGACAAATGCTGTTTTTCTAGATTTCCAGACGACACGTTAGGGAGTTTTTTCGCGTGGTTTTGGACCTTGCTCGTCCTTCCGAGCCATGGTATTTTGCTGCCGGGAGCTGCTTTTTTCGAAGCTGTTTTACCGGCATCAGCAGCAGCAGCTGCCGCCACCAGTTCTGCGAGCAGCCGCAGGCAACGCAGGCAACAGAATCTTTCGACCTTGCTCGTCCTTCAGAGCCATGGTGTTTTGCTGCCGGGGGCTGCTTTTTTCGAAGCTGTTTTACCGGCATCAGCAGCAGCAGCCGCAGGCAACAGAATCTCTCGACAAATGCTGTTTTTCTAGATTTTTCTAGATTTCCAGACCACACGTTAGGGAG